AATAATTCCTTATTTCCTAACCCATTCTTAGCTGAGACCACTGTCAAATCCCCCCCTCTTGTTCTGTTTTCCAAGCTCAGAAACTTTGGTCAGTTAGTGTATGGGACATGTGTTCTGTACCTTTCACTAGCCCTGCCTGAGTACTAGCTTTTTGGCATGAGGCTTTTAGATTTGTCTCTTATCTGATGGAGCACTTGATTATAGGTGAATTCAATGTGTAAGCCCATTGTTTTTTATTATACTTTTTCTCCTCTATTCCTTTCCTAATAATTCTTAACATGCTTTGCTGCTAGTTATTCTGTTAAGATTAAAAAATATCCTTTTCTCAGATTGCTATTGTTGTCTTGAGTGATAAAAGCTGCAGAGATGTTTTTAATTTCTCCCTTTGAATTAGTTTTCTGTTGTTGACACTGAATTCAGTTTGGCATCTTATCACATGGCTACTCAAATCTGAAGATTATTTTTTATCTGTTCCTGTCAGCATTTCAGTTTTTGTCCAGATTAATTTTTGTCCTCTATTGATTTGCTCACCTCACAGTTTTCAGGATCACCTCTAAATAATACGAACACTTTGGCTGTATGGGAAGTCCCTGTGGTAGCCTCTCTCTATTTAACAATTGTATCTTAATTTCTGTACTTGCTTTCATGTTTGTAATGAACCCTTACTTCACAAGGGGATTTTTCATAAATAGCCAATGAAAAAATGAACATTAAGATAAGACTGCTGGACAAGCGTTAAAGCTAATTCAACCATATCGTGCATTTCTCTGAAAAATCTATGATAGAATTACTTAGGATAGATGTACATAATGTTTAGATTTCTTCTCTCATCTTTCTTTAAATAACAGTTCTTCAAATAACTGACAACCGTATATTGAATTGCATCTGTTGCTAAACACTAGTAGTTGTGTATCAGAGGTTTTACAATGTATTTCTGATTGATTGTATTATGTTTGCAAATGAGAAGATAGAACTTTAAAGTTGAAAAAGATAAGACTTCAACATAAATGTGGAAATATAGAAAATGTATACGTATACATTGGGAGCTTAATCCAATGAGTGTTACCCTCTTTTGCCTGGTTTTTGGTCAACTGATAAATCCTGTGTATCACCTCTGGGGACTGAGCCATCTTACTTTGTCTATTGCATTTGGTTACTATAGCAGCAAAAATATCAAGTGGAGAGAAAGGAGGAAACCCAAACAGCCTGAAAATAAACATCTGCCATGTTTACATGTATAGAAATACTAGAACAGTTAATTTTTTATCTCACTGAATAGGAGATTTATTAATATTAAAACTAGATTGACATGATGTTATTATGTCGTATTTAGTTTCAAGAAAATAAACTTTTTAAGTTGCTGGTATGAATGTGGATCTTCTAAGTCAACTAATCTTTATGATCCTTTAGAGAAAAGGAATGTGCTGTCTCGTGAGTACTGCATTTTCAGTATGGGCTACTGGTGTAATATGGTTTTGTGGTGGTCAGTGTTTGGTGGTGGGTTTTTTTTAAATAAACCAAATATCGGCCTTGTAATTCTTTTAGCTGCTAAATGTGATTTCTGTAGACATATTAGCACTGTTTAAGTAGAGCAGGGAGTTGCTTGACAGGAGATAATATATAGAGTGTTATTTTCCAGTATTTTAGAGATTTAAAAGGCACCGGAGCTCCAAATGTACATACTGCCATTCTGCGTGTGTATGCACACACCTGGGCGAGACAGTAAGAAAACTATCATGAAAATAGACAAAACCCAGCACTATGAAGACAGAACAGGATGTCTTGCATAACAGATATTACCAAACATCTTTGGTAATAGTGATTCTGAACTAATGTTTCTTAATGCAGGTAGTTAATGCTATAGTCACTTACATTTAAAGATTAATCTGTAAACAGTATTAGGACAGTGTTAACTCCATTAACATGCTGGGATGTTTCAGGTAATTCTGCATATTTTTATTTGCTTTTAAAAACAGACTGAGAATATTAATTAGCTATTAAGAGACTTGAATACAGTTTCATTACATTCTGATTTCATGCAAATCTATTTTATCCTTGAAATACTATATACAAGTAATTTAAATTTTAATTTTCAGTATTGTGTGGTGTTTTCTGTTACATCTCATGTGCAGAAAGCTTGGATCGCCAGTGTTTGCTGCCAGACTTTTTAGGAGAATAATGATGTATTTTCTCTTTTGGTGGATATACTGTCTCCTGCTGGCTATGAGAGTTCTTCCACATGGCAGCAACCTCACGTTTTTTAGAAAACATTTTTCTCATTGTGAATTTGTTCTTTTCCCAGTTGAAGTTTGTCATTAATCTTGGTACTATTAGAAAAGGAAAGCTTGATTTATTGTCAGTGATCATTTTCAATAGCAAGTGGAAGAGAAATCACTGAATGACCAAATTATAAATGTTTAGAAATTATGCATTTATTGTTCTGTATTGTATTATGATTTTCTGATAGCGATGGTCTTGTTAAACTTATAAAGTCTATCTTCCTTTGTAGTTCTTCTAATTTTTTAATTTTTTTAAACTACAGTATGTTTAACCTACTGTGAAACAGTATCTTGTGGAATAGTGAAAGTCTGTTCAATCTGAGTTTGCCTACCTTGATTGGTAGATTAAAGCCATTCCTCTGGGGTTATTTCTCTTTCTATATTAATGTTTTTGTTAGAAAAATTAATTCCAGTTTTTTGAAAATTTTTATTTTTCATTTCTGTCTTTCCTGAGAAAGTTAGCGCTCTGTGAAATAGCTACTCTATAAAATGCATAAACGTAATCTAATCAGATTATCTATAGTGTGGAAAGCCTACAGATTTTCTGATTATGGATGTTATGTGCTCTATGCTCTTCCCTCTACTTCTTCCTCTCCCCCTCCTTGCTCCAATGAGTATCTGGAAAATAACATGTATTGTGTGACTGTCCTACTGTATAAAACTCAATATTGTGATGTGGACATTGTAAAGAATCTAAACCTCAAGGGAAGAAGTGAAAGTTTGTGTCTTCTGAGGCCAAATGTTTTCCTTGGATGGGTTTTGTTTTCATATTTTTGCAACTCTTTTCTAGTGGCCCTGTTAATGATATAAAATCTAATACTTTAGATTCATTTTGAGGAGGCGATGTAGAAGACTGTCACATCTCTGTTAGTATTCCTCCCTCCTTGAAATACCTACTTCTTAATATTTAGTTGCCTTAAGCAGGGAAATAGAACTTTTTTGATAATATTAGGAAAAATCAAGTAAGATGGTTTTGCAAGTAAAATGCAGGCACATTGTAAGTCTGCATTTTCTGTTTTGAAAGTTTATAGAGTAGAAAGGGAACAAGTGAGAACAGAGTCAAAAGCAGGTAAGACTGGCTGATCAACAGAAATAGCTTAGGCAGGCAGCGTTATATACGGGAAATGTCTTAAACTGCTCTTTGTGAAACTGGGTATTCCTAAAGCTGATTAAATGCTGAAGTAGGGTACCTGCTCCATAAGAGGTGAGGCAAATTGACTCAAACTGATCAGATGAAGCTCTCGTGCATTAAAGGCTGACCAGGGATTTTAGGGACTTGCTGTAGTTTGTTCTCATTTCTTGGACCTGAACTTACATATAGAAGCTAGAAAGAAGGGATTTATGCCAGATAAGCAAGGTATAAAGGAAATGGGATCAAAGTTGTGCTACTTCCTTGCGAACTTAATTGAAACCGTGTCATCACAAATGGAAAAATGTGCTTTCCCTGACACCACATCAACTATAAAAGCTTTTGGACAGGTAATTGTTCAGGTTGTAAGGAAGAGTAATGGTGGCAAACAACCTTGTCCTCAGTTAAACCCTGTGTTGAGCTACTACAATCACAAACTCTTCTCTGTTCTTCTGATTGATACCACTCAGAATGACTCTGTTCTCTGTTGTGTTCAGAATTGGCCTGGATTTCAGTGGTAGCGAAAGTAATGTTTGGCATGGTTTGTGTGTATCTTTTGGGTTTTTTGTTTTGGTTTTTTTGTGTGTTTTTTTTTTTTTTTAAATAAATGGCTTTGGTGACTTACTGACATGGGGAAAAGAAAATCATAAGTTGTTAATCATTTGGTTTATTGTGGGGTTTTTTTCTGATGTGACTGTGTTGCTACTTGTTCCTAAAATGCAATTTGCTAAACTGTTGTTAATGCTTTTTGAAAATGCCACCTGTGGCTTTAATTCACAAGTTGGTGTTGAGCTTGGCTGCTGAGGCTTCTCTTCACAACCTGCATATGGGATTCCACAAGGTTTTGCACTTCCGTTTATCCTCCTATTTCTTCATCTGGGCTGCTGTACTGAATTCTTACTTGTTGAACAGGTTCTTATGGTAGGATTGATCTCACCTATGTTTTAAATGGTGTCTACATCTGAGCTAGTTACCAAGATTTCTTGAATCTTAGTATGACTCAGAAGTTATTTATTTCTAACAATATCTGCCATGAATTGCACCATTTCACTTAAAAGGTATTTTAATAATTCATATTCTAGTATGAATCGTATTTTGGGCAGATTCAAAGATCTAACATGAAGTTAGTGAAAGCTCTAACAGTAGGCTAGTCTCACTTTGATTTTTAAGAACCCTGTTACTGCAAAGTGCCGACTCCTGTCCTTCTCTCCTCAGTACTGGCTCTTCTGCATGTTTGCAGCCAAGCCTCTAAATTGGATGCAGTTTAGTTTCTCTGCATTAGCCTTATCTTCTCTGAGTGCTCTTTGTTATAACTTGATTCTCTGTTGGATTTGCAGACAGTTTGGCAGGTTTCTTCTTCCTGATACATAGACAAATACCAATCATCAGATGTCATGGGCAGCATCTGCTTGAGAAATACCTGAAATCAAAATAATAGGGGTGGTGCAAAGGAAGTTGCAGATGCATGGGAAACGTTTGACTAGCCTGTCATTCATTTGCTCGCTGTGAATCTTAAATATGAAGAGGCAAAGCTGACTGTTTGAAACAATGTGCTTTAGATTATTTGTTTTTGTTTGTTTTCTAGACAGAATTCATCTATGTCCAAGCAACAAATAAACCAAAGACCTTCAAGCATGGTCAGTGAAACATCGACTGCAGTAACTACATCTGCTATTGATACAAAACCTGGCTCTAAGGTAAAGGAAAAAGGCTATTGTTTCAGCTTGATGGTTAGAATGTCACTGGCTTCAAATCCAACACTCTTTTAATGCTGATTTTAATAGGGCCATAGGTTTAGCCTATAAGTTTAATAACTTACCTCAAAGAAGCGGTACCATCTTCTACCCAAGCAAAAAGCTTTTTACAACATAAGAGCACAGTATACCCACATGACAGTATTGAATGATAATTCGAAAAATAGTGAAAAATACTTTACTGGAGTTTTAATTAAGACACAGAACTTATATGCTTGCTTTGATCACTGCATGCATTTCCAGGCTTGAAATCACTCCTCTCGTTCTGTAGAGTCTGACGCAGTGGTAATTCAAGTGAACTAGCAATGAGAATAAAGGCTGTAAAGGGTGTCCTCCATTTTTTACTTTTGGCACATTGAGAGTAGATTTTAAGATCCTTTTATCTTTTTCTAAATGTTTTCTTCTGTGAGTTCCATAATCGTTCTTTCAAAGAGTGAGTTTCCAGACACAGACTTGAGACACAATCAGGAAGCCAGAGACATGTTCTGTTGGTCATGGCAAAGGTCTCTAGCTACTCATAGCTAATTATTATCTTTTATGAAATGCTTTCATAATTTTGTCCTGCAAATGCCATCACAGAACTGTGTAGGTGTAGTGTTAGAATCCTGGCCATATTTAAACTGATTTTTTTATATAGCAAGCGCATTGAAGTAGTACCAAATCAGAAGGTGCACGAACAGGTACATGGCTTTTCACTTGACTCTTCTGCAGAAAGTTGACAGCTAAGAATTGCTACGTTTGGGGTTGAGGGGGAAGTTAAGCTGCCAACTGTACAGCAGATTTGTCATTCTCAGTTCAAGATGAAAGAGATGAAGACTTCTGGCTTCCTGGTTGCAGTGTTTAAGTCTGAACTTGAATTGAATAAAACTTCTGAAATAAAAAGTAATTGTGTGGAAAGTGAATTTTGCATGTTCTGTCCAACAATGTCAACTGTACAGTGTACAACAAGAAGAGCATGTTGGAAAGATGAAAAAGAAGAAACCAAAATGAGGCTTATACTTATCAAAATGTCATTATGTTTTATTGACATGCATATAAATATATATATGACTTCATTTTGTAAGACACTTGAGATATAACCAGTTTTTCCAGAAATGCACATAGGTCCTTGGGGTAGGCCCCACCATTTTGATGCTGGCACCGTCTGAATAAGTTGTCTGAGGACTTTAGACCAACACAGTCTACCTTTCCTTTTGGAATTTGAGGGGCATGGAGTTGATAGAATAAAAAGCAAAAAGGCATGCTGATAAACCACAATTGTTATCTGTTCCAGAGATCTGCTTGTTCATAGCCAATTCAATTACATTATTAACCATATTAAAAGCCATTTATGTTGATTACAAATGAAGGATATGGAGGAATAAAGATCTGCTTCAATTTGAGAGTAAAGTACATTTGGAATTTAATCTGTTATAGCATCTAATGGCGTGAATGGAAGCTTATAATTGTTACTGGCACTTTGGCCAAGTCGAAAGCTTAAAGAGTAGTAGTGCAATGTATTTATTACACCTGTGGTTTGAGAGTGTGTTTTGGATGGATTCTGCATAAGAGAAGTAATTGAATTGTTGATGACACTGATAGTTGCTGGTATTTTTCCAAGATGAACTGGTAAGGATTACAAAAAGTAAATAAAGAATGTGTCTAGCAGTTGAGAGAAACCGGCGATGGTGACAGGTGTGCAATGGTGCCAGCTCTGTGGGGCTGTCTGGAGCTGGAGTGTAGAACACAGGGATTAGTTCAGGGCCACTGTAGATGAATGCTCAATATTAAGAGCAGGAATTTCTGAGAGGTTCAGGTTTTCTTACCTGAAAATAAGGATTTTGTCTAATTTACTTAGAGATACCGAAAGGATTCATGAATTCATTTGTTAGTTTGTTAGCTAATTCATTAGCATTGAGATTTTTTGAACAGAAGAGTTTGACTTATACAGGTTGGGTTTTTGTGGGCTGGGTTTTTTTTGTTTGCTATTTAGAAAATCTGTTCCAAATGAAAGGGTGTTTACGTTATTTTTGACTGTTCAGTTTTAGGAAAAAAATATTACATTTTATAATTAAGTTAGCAACTTTTCTTCTCAGCTAGAGACTACTGTAAGGAAGAAGATGACGCAGTGATGGAAAGGGACTTGAAAATGTTGGCTCTTGACATTTTGTTTTATTGCCAAAATTTACGAGTCATTCACAAACAAGCCAGCATAACAAATGTACTGGAGTCAAAAGCAACTTCTTTGTCTTCAGTGACACAGGCAGCTGCTCTGATCTGCGTTTTTCAACATACGACAATGATATCAGAATATTTTAAGTTAGGAAAAGACTACTGCAGTAGAGACAAATAGTTTTAAAAAATATGCCTTTTCTTTTAAACTAACTTTTTATTTTAGCTAGTGGAAGCAAAGCCTGACATTCAGTATCTGTTATGCTTTGTTTTATTCCAGAACAGAATGAGATGATTAATACTACAAATGATACGAAAATTTTCATTACTTAAAGCACTATAAAATGATTTTTTTGGTTTCTGTATGGGTATTGTATTGATATACAATACACAGCCTTAGGAAAACTTTGCCTGCTGCCATGTAATAGAAACTGTTTGGTCTTTTGACCAAGTCCAAGGATGACTTTTCTACATTGTGGTCTGCATTTTTTTTTCTCCAATTAAATAAGGCCAGAGAATCAAAGTGCTTGATCACTGACAGGCGATCTGATGAAGAAAATCAAATTTAAACCCTACTCTCAGGCTAGATCAGCTATACTTTAACTGTTCCTCTATTCATCCACTCGTCCTAGGATAAATATGAGAGAGAAAAATTAGGAAACTAAATTTTGTACATTTGTAAATTGATTTCTATTCCAGTGCGGAGCATAAATTTTTGACTTTCAGAGCCTTTAAACAGTTTAGGCCTCATTATTTTTCACCACCCTTGTAATGTAGCTGTTATATCTAACCTTTGGCAACAGGTGTTTTAAATTTTGGCTGAATTGATTACTTCTTGTTTTTCTTAACAGAAAATATATATGGCTTGGCCTGATGATCATATGATCATCCAGAGCTTGGCTGACCTCATGATACATCTTTGTGTGTTCGTTTAAAGTGATATTTGTACACAGGTTCAGAAGTTATCTTTTGAAATATTTTCAGTAGCAAACACAAAATGCCTAACATCTTATTTTTTCCTTTAGTATCAGATTTGCTGCTTGTAGGTCTATGAGTGAGTACCGAGAGGGATTTTATGGTCATGATTAACACGCTGTGTTTGCACAAAGCTAGTACTCTGCAGCCTGTTAGCTGAGTGTGGCAGAGAAATGGGCTGGGAGATCTCGGTGATACCATCCTCACCTGGATTTTACTGTGAACTGGTTATTCCAGCTGAATGGCAGGGGCACCTGCTCAGGAACCTGTTGCTGTTTACAACCTGGCCTGTTAGGTTTGTGGTAGCTAACCCTAATGTTGCCCTGGGCGGGGTAAATCTTGTGCAGACTCTCACTGAGGTGTCACTCACAGGGAAAAGCCGGTACTTGGCGTTCTTCCTGTCTCCTAAGTGTCAGGGCGTGTCACCAAAATGACCATGACCTGCAGCTCACCTGACTTCTCAGCAGAGCTGAAAGCAGTATGCTGCTTCCTGGTAAACAGACCTTGGGGACATTACCTAGTAAAAATCTGCCCTTTGCGATCTCCTTATGTGTGTTAAATCTACATTGCTGTTTTATACGCTAGAGCACCAAAGAAAAAATGGATTTTTTTTTTCTTAGTGATTATTGCTATTATCTTAATCCTGCATTAAGATGTGTGCTTATGTCTACTGAAATGTGTGAAATTTAGTGCAGGTTGGTAAAGGGCCTCAAAATTAACAGAATCCATTTAATGTTACCATATATTGCTAGAATATTTTCATTATTATATATGCTGTCTTCTAGTCAGATGTTACCTGACTGGCCAAAGCAGTACACTTAGATATTTTTATGATATCATCCCTTGTGTATGATAAATGTGCTTGTTTCCAGAGCTACTGTTTGTCTGCAGCTGACAGAGCATCAGTAGCCTGGCCAGCTGAGAAGGGAGGTTCAAACAAAGGGGACATTGTGGGAAGGAGACAGAGTGTGAATCCGGACAGCTTTTTCCTTGGAGAAGTTGGGAGCCAATTGTAAGGGTGGTTTGTGCACCTCAAGTTCGTAAAGCAATTGCAGTAGCAAACTGTGCTAAGATTGGAAAAGAACAGGCAGAATATTCATCCAGAGATTCTTGCTGTCTTTTTCACGGACTGATAGGTTTTCTTTGTTTGTTTTTGAAATAGTTTTGCCCATGTGAGTCAAAACTGAGGTTGCAGTAAAACACAAACCATTACCCAGACCTTGTGATTTCCACTTACTGCCATTTAGGTCTCTCTAGGTCTTCTCCTTTTGTTTGCAGGGTCAAAGTCCAAGCATTTTATTAAGCTATCAATGCTGTTTGAATTGAAACAGGAAAGAAAACCAAAACCACCAACAACAACAAAAAACCCAACCAAAAAACAAACAGGAAGAGTAGGATTCATGCGGACAAAGTCCTGTGTGTGTAACAGACTTGTACCACGTTGCAGCTCTTGTAGTGCACTCAAAAATACTTCCCAAGCACACTAAAATTTCAGCAGTTCTGCCTTTCAGACTACAGTTACCAGGGTTGCTGCCGTTCAACTGAGAGTTGGCAGACGATCCTGGCACTGATATGTTGATGATAGTGGGAGATTAACTTTACTATGTTGTAAATATCATTGTCTATTTACTTGCCCTTGAAAATGCTATAAATACTTTGTTACTGTGTAATGAAGTATGAATTATTGCAGTGAAATTATTTGTAATATGAAATGAGTCTCAGTACAGTTTAAAAAATCACTGCTACGTCATGCTTCTTTACAGGTTGTGAAGGCTGGAAACAAAGTTCATAGCTTTGGAAAGAGGGAACAAGCTATCAGGAGGAATCCCAATGTTCCTGTTATAGTAAGAGGCTGGCTACACAAACAGGTATGTGTGTAATCATCTGTTTCTGTTCATATGCTTCAGTACCATCAACAAGCAAAAGTAAGTGCCTTCCAAGTAACTGAAAAAATAGAAGCTCAAATGGTGGTGGTGCAGGGTAGTGCTGGGTACTCCCACAAGCTTCTGTAATGAGGCGCTTTCATTCAGCAAGTGTGAAAAACAAGTTTTACGTACAGGTTTGATTCAGAAGTGGAAACAAGGATAAATGGACATTGCTATCGTGGTTAAATGTTGAGGCTATAACTTCGTTGTCTAAATCTGGTTATTTTTCCTGTTTTATCCGGCTGACTTACTGCCGTGCTGATCTCAGTCTTCCTCGGAACACACTATAAACCTGAGGTTGGCTTATTCCATCTGCTTACATCCTTATACCCTGATCAAAGGCTTAATTCCAACCCGTATGCCTTTTGTTCTCCAGAAGGAGGGAGAAAATTAAGGGAGACAGGGACCCGTTCACCACATATTGCTGTCACCAAGACCAGTGTCCACGCAAAGGCTGGATTATAGGATTTTATTCAACAAACAGAATTTTACAGCTGCTGCATCTTGAACTCTTAAGCTGACAGAGCAGCACATCCTTGAGTGCAAAAAGTAAAGCAAGCTCTTTGTTGTATGAGAATACTTCCCTGCTTATAATTTGGCAGTCGGCATCCATCAGATTACCACCAGACATCCAGCAGCTAGGTTTAGGGATGAGTAGGACAAGGCTGAAATCTAAGGCTGACAATTATGATTCTACATATACAGGAAAGGAAAATTGCTGACAGCCATCCGCTGCCTCCTGCATGGAGAGCTGTATTCTGCTCTCTACTCTGTTGACATCCACTACCCAAGTCCATTTGTTTTCAGGACAGAATTGGAACTCAGACACAGAGTGTGTTGACAGCATTGTAGCATGAAAAAGGAAAGGGAAGAAAGTCCTTGCATACTTAATATGACTGCAGAAAGAAGATGGGAAATACTATATACAACATTCTTCTAGCTGTTTCCTTCTGTTCCCTTTCCTCTACTTGCAAGCACTTAAAGCCTGAAGATGCTTTCTGTCTGCTGGTCTCATCGAAGATTACCTCAGCTGAATAAGTCGTACTTGCTTAGGTTACAGTCTGGCAATTTAAAAGCTTCTAAAATTAATGTCAATGTAAATATTAATAATTTTGACAAGGTGATATGTATTATATACAGATAATATTCTATTATACTTATTACTATATACAGGCATGTTATATTATACTTCATTTAAAATTTGCACATTATGAGCCCTGTTTTATTTCGTAAGGAATATTTGATTAAATTACATTTTAGGCATGGGTAACATATGGGAGATTAAATGTAGAATTATAGGGGTTCTTTGCCCGAAATGTGAGGTCATACTTCCCGGCTGTGTAGTGATTTTCATCTTGGTCTACAGGCAATCATTGTAGGAGTCTATGCCATCCAGATGCATGCTTTGTTTCTTTATTGCAGGATAAATCTGTCTAGATAAAATATGCATCCGTTGTGTCTTAGGTTAATCTGAATGCTGTTTGGGATGCAAGTTTAATTACTTAATGAAAATTAGCAGTTTGAATATTCTACCCTGATTATTTTATAGATGGATGTTTTGCCTCTTATCTTTCTTGGTACATAATATTTTGCTAAAATATAAATGACTTGTTTTTGCAATTAATACCATATTTAGGTAAACTTCTGGTAAACTGCTCACTGGTGCAGCATTGTATGATAAGCTGTTAACTTTCCTTACATGAAAAGTGTATCATGTTTCTTGCATTTCAGGATAGCTCTGGAATGCGATTATGGAAAAGGCGATGGTTTGTGCTTGCTGATTATTGTTTGTTTTACTACAAAGGTGAGTAGCTACTAGCTCCTTTGAGTTAGTCTGTAACAGTTCACCTCTTCAGATCACATTGCAAGCATAAACTAATTGAACTCTTCACATATAGTTAGGTATTCTGAGAAGATGCGTAGTGAAACAATTACTTATCTATGTCTTTAATGCACAGCAAATTTCAGGCCAGAGTTGGGGAACAAGAGGGTGCTGTATGATCTTTTGTCACATAACTTATCTTTGATATATGCCAAGGTTTCCATTACAAAACATTTGGGAGCAATACCAGTTTAAGATTTATCTCATCTCTGGTCTGTGTTGTGTTACCTACTTGCTTGCACTTGGACAGCTGATTTTTTTGAGAATGCACTATGACCAGATCAGGACATTGATTCAGCTTTAATCCAAAGGACTATGTAAGACTGTGATGTTCTGAATCCAGTATTTCTACCAAAAAAGGTTAGATGTGATCTTGGCCTGAACTAGAAATAATGGTTTTACCTAAGGTTATTTTGAAGTTTTGAATATTATATAGTGTATTACAATTTTTGGAAAGCATTACAGAATATGAAACTCAAATTCCTATTTCTAGGCACTCCATTTCTGCTGCTGATCACTTTAGAGCCAGCAGTAATAGAGGTTTCCTAATTATAGCAATTAGCCTAGATGTAGAATACTAAATGGAAGGTCCGTCACATTATGCAGCCTGTCAGAGTTCCTTTGTCACAATAAGCTTTATTCTCAAAGGGTATTCTTCTGTCTGAACCTAAAAAAATCACCCCCCCAAAAAAACCTCAACAAAACTCCAAACTGATCTTTTTCAAAAAAATTCAGTCTTGTTTCTTTAAAAATAAAACATTTTTCTCCATGTATTATTGGTGTGGAGTCATTAGAAAATTTGAGTCAGAAGGGATTTCAGGAAGTGTCTAGTCCAACTGCCTGGTGACAGCAGAGTCAGGACAGAAGTCAGCCCAGGTTGCTCAGGGCTTAATCCAGTCAGGCCTTGAAAAACTCCAAGGATGGAGATGGCACAACCTCCCTAGTCAGCCTGTTCTGCTGCTGCTCTGTCCTCATAGGGAAAATTCTTTTCCTTATATCCAGTCTGAACCACTGTTCTTTCTACTTAATGGCTGTTGTCTGTGTGTCCTTAAAGGAGAATGTATTGTTACCCCACTGAAAAGTGCAGTGAATGAGATTCTATTTTTTTTTTATTCAACAGACAGCAGAGAAGAATCTGTTTTGGGTAGCATACCATTGCCTAGTTACGTAATATCTCCAGTTGGACCTGAAGATCGCATAAATCGCAAATTTTCTTTTAAGGTATACTTACAAAGCTTATTAGCTAATCATATTTTAAAATGTTTATTTGCATTAGAAAAGATGCTGTTGAAAAAAAGAAGTATTATCTACTTTCCTATTTTATTAATTTTTTAAAGCACGCAGGTGTATTGACTACCTGTTCAAATGTGACATAGCACTTTTTTGTTGCTTATGAATTGACATTCATGTGTATGTTACTATGTAAGTGTCTTTAGAGCTTAATAATGTGTCTGTGAGTAAAGATACTGTTTCTAAAATTGGAAATTAGTATTGGTAAGTTGTTCTAGTAATGTTTACAAATTGAAAGGAAAGTCATCATTTTTTCTTTATAGAGTGATCTTATAGTGGATGAATGGTCTTTCAGGTTTGTTGTGTTATATTTTAAATAAAATAATTCAGCTCTTGTAGCTATAAAATGATAACACTGCAGCTTTTGATGTATAATTTCCTCATTTCAAGGGGAAGAAGAGTGATTATTTTTTTTCTTTTTTTGTCTGAGGGAGCAATAGTCATCCTAAGTGACATGAAGTTTTTTAAAGAAAAAACTTGTTTCAATATAGTTTGTGGTTGGTTTTGTGTTTTTTCTTTTATTTTTTTTTTTAAATTTAAATGTATAATTTACAGTTCTATTCTTTGTTATAAAAACCTATGAAAATGAAATAAAACATACATCCTTCTTGACAGTGGAGAAGCCTGACTCCAATTGATTGTCTGAGCTGCAGCACTAAGGCAAAGTTTAGAAACTTCAGTGTATGTTGCAGACTTAAATTCTAATGATAATGGTTTTCTGTCAAGCAAATGAGCTATGTACTTTAAAAGAAATAAATTTTAGGAATCGGGTTTTGATCAGGTATACTTGAGGAGATCTAGACGGAAACTTTCTGTTTAAATCTTTTCTGCTGAAATTAGAAAGAACGCATGCTCAGCTTAGACTTTATCTTGCATTTTGCTTTTTGGGGTGTTTTAAAATTGTAGACTGCCTTTTGTTGCTTTGGGTTCTATTTTCCAGTGGATAACAGTTTGAAATTTTTTAAACAAGTATTAGCCTGGGAAATGTGTGTTTAAAAAAGAAAAAGAAAAAAACCCAACACCCAGTGCACTTTGCAGAAATGTTTATTGTACTTTTTCAAATGCATTGAACATGAGATAGCAGGACAAGCTACAAAGGAACCTTTGTTTAAGAAAAAAATCCACTCCAATATTTAATGAGTGTAATTCATCAAGCTCTCCTGTTCTAGAGCCTTTTCCTAGGAAGAAGCTCATATTGAAAGAAGAGGACCCAATGTACTTCTAGGCTTCTACTTCTCATGAATAACGATTAGTGCCGACTGGGAAGGAGATCAAGAAAGTAGTGATAGTATCTAGTTGCTTTAGAGTTTAAAAAAGTAAAATCTGCTTTCTAATTTATTGAAAGGATCTTTGTAAATGTTAATTGAATATATATTGGGATTATTAATCAGTTTAACACTATCAGTGATAAGGGGGGAAAAATCCCATCTGTGTGTGTGTGTGTGTATGTAACACACACGTAGTTTCCAAACAGTATGTTCTGTGGGCAAGCTCTCAGATCACTGCTGCCAAGTTGTCCCTTTCCTTTCCTACAGAGTAGAATCCATGGTTGTGATCATGGTTAAATGTTTTTCAGAAGCAATTGCAGGCCTCCCCCGTTCCTTTTAGGATATCATACCTATATGAGCTCTACTAAGTCTTTAATCTGAGCCTTTTTCTGCAAATCAGCATGAGCCAGTAACCTGAGACTTTCAGCATAGGGTCATTACTAAAAAGTTAATATAGAAATAGGGAGTTGATAGCAAAAGAAACTTTATGCTAGAAATCTATATGAAAAAATCCACAACATACGTTTCATGTATTAGTTTGTTGGGCCAATCTTAACTCTGCTTTAGGTATTTGATGACTGACTGCAGACTTGATGCTGCAGTTTCATTTTATTTAGAACCAACTCCTAGGGCAGTAGGAGGATTTTGTAAGATTCCTGTTGCATGGATGCCTTCCAACACTGACGTTCAATGGTCGTGGTGTCGGCTGTGGGTGCACGGCAGCAGGAGCACAGCCGTACTGGCATTCCATCACTCACTAGCCATTACCTTTATCTAATCTCTTCAGTACACTTTGATATCCAGAGCGCAGACGGACATTCTGTCTCACGACATAGTACAGCCCGAAATAGAAAACACAAGCAGATTAAGCCCAAAATAAAGATAGGACCTGAATGTGAGTGGGAGAATATGCCATGTCACTTACTACATTTGGTTTACCATTTATTCAGATTGTTGTAAATCCTCTGTTACAATAGAGGTATTGGCTTTCATTTCAAATGGCTGTTTTAAGTAATGAGGTTTCTGAAGCTAGGGAAGCAGTCAAACTGTGAAAAAATCCAACATTTTGGTTTGTTAAACTAAAGGAAAGTAATTTACTTAGCAAATATGTGGATGCTTTTTGTATGTGATTCAGTTAGAAGAAGGTTACTAAAATATACACTCACTAGAATATATATATGTTAAACTGTGCTGTGTAAAAGTACACCATAGGAGTTCTCAGAATTCTTTTCCTTTCATCATCTCCTAAGGCCCAGCTTTAAGCTTTTGTGTCTCTTTGGGTGTTTAACAATTACAGGCCTGTAGAACTGCATACAGGCTGTTCATATGCAATCAAAAACCTACTTTGAAGTGTAGTATTGATGTATGTTAAACTGTTTTGTTTAGAAACTCTGCTTTTAAGTATTTACCTTGATGAATTTTTCACGTTATTTGTCCCAAGTAACACTGTGACTAGCTGTAAGCTACTGCCATTAAGCTGTATGACAGCCTTTTAGAACTCAAGATCCTCACTGCATATTTAGTTCAGTGGCTAACATCTTAAAAATATTTAATTAATCTAATCGCTGTAGTTTTTAATACAGTAATTTTTTGCTGCTACAGATGTGAGGGAGCACAAATACAATATATAGATTTTTAATGTGAAAACGTTTACACAACATTAATATATAGCAAGAAATGCTTCCTTTGATTAATAGAGAATTAACTGTACTTTTTAGTAATATAGCAATTTTAAACATTAGTAGTATCAATTTATGAAGGTTAATGTCGTCACAGTCTCTTTAGAAATCTCATTGCCGTCAATCATGGAAACTATTTTTAATTGGTCTTATATGTGTTAAAATATATGAGGGGATACTGAATGTAAACTCATTTATATGAATCTGACAGTCATACAAATGGAGACACTTGGAAGGCCTACCAACATATGCTGTAAAGAAAACAACAAAACTTCATGCAAAGGCAATGTATGCAAGTATATGTTTGTATTTAGGTACGTATCTTGCTACCAAATAAAGTCAATCAAGGATGCTCTAATGTTCCTGGAAGAGGTAGGAACTAGGGTTGGAGATACAAATTATTTCTTTTTATTTTGATACTACCTTTTACATTTTTTCAGAGATTGACCCTTTCAGCGTGAGGGCATTCAGAGAAGCCAGGCCAAATCATTACTTCCAGAAGATGCTACTGCAGCTTGGTTTTAAACATCTTTTCATTATTGACACTCTAAGACTTCCTAATGGAAGTATATGTTCATTGCTTAGACCTCCTGGGATCAGGGCAAACTTCTTATTTGCTTCTTTGATCTCACTGGTTTTCCTAAAAAATTTTGACATAGTTTGTTACTTTATGTTCTCTGGCTCATTGTTGCTTCCTTAGGCTCCCATTTTGCTTTATAAAGGTTCTCTGAGTCTGGGGAGTCAGGTGAAGAAATGCCAAGGGCTATACATTGGAGAGGTGCCATTTTAGAATTTGGAAAAGGGAAGGCTCTAGCTTCTAGAAGTCCTGAAAAAGCTCAATGTTGATTTGAGGGTGAAAGATTGTAGTGTGCTGCTGTTGTGTTTATTGTGAAGGCTCAGAGTATTACTTCAGTTTTTGCTCTTAAATGTTTCATATATATCAAGCTTCAGGAGAAGAGAGAATTTCCTGTGTTTTATAGCTTATTGAGAGGACTAACTTTGAAAGATTACAATTATTAGAAAACTGTTTCCCTCCTCATCCCTCTGTCCTATGACCTGTGGCCTTTTCTCTCCTAGGAATTTTGAATTATTGGAGGTGAACTTAACAGCTCTAGACACTAGTTACTTTTCATATAGTCTTTTATTAAGCATTTTCTTTGGAAGCATGAATCTTTTAATGAATTTAACCTGTTTAATTTTTTGTCCTTGTCTTGTCTTATTGATATGCCCTTGGGGTTTACGGTCCATTTCTCCTTCTGTGCATTATGGGAGAGAGACTGCTTTTCTTCTCAGTCTATCCACGTTAAGGCATCTGAATGCATGAATAGGTACCAATATTATTTTTTCCCTGTTGTGTGTGTGGTGTACGTGCACGCATGTGCTGTGTTTTAGGCTTTTTAGTATGCTATAGTGATCCTAATAGCTATTGCTTTAAAAAAAAACACCAACCAACCAAACCCAACTGCTAGCTTTTGTGTCTGCTAGCAGTGACAGCTACAGGACATTGGCACAAAGTGGCTTTCTTGCATATAAACCACGCTACTAATAAATAACTGAAATATATTTGAATTTTCCTTTAACCAGTTTTATATATTAAGAACTTCAGAATATTGTGTTTGTTCATAGTAACACACCATCTCCATTATCCCTTCTGAAGCTATGAATGTTTATGGCTGTGACAGCTTCAATCTCTCAAGGGAAAATGTTGCAACATACTTTGCATTTTTATACCATTTCCACCTACAGCCTCTTAGGCAATGTTTTCAGCTGTGTTTGTCATGCACCGCTGAAAGAGAACCTGAAGAGCAAACCAGTTATGTTGGTCAGAACGTACAGGTCAATTAAGACAGGCAGCTCTTATATCCATTTATTGATGTGATACGCAGTGTCCGTAGTGAGTTGCCCAAGGTTCTGTTTATTTTCAGCAAGTATATAATCATGAATGGTAGGGTCCTACTGTGTCATCTGCAGCGGGCCATATGTAGTCTGCTTTTTCTGCAGGAGTTGCTTTGCTTCTGAATTCTAGCATCTTATTCTATGGGCTCAATGTGCTCTGTGAAGGAACCCTGTAGTCAAAGGTCTAGCGTTAAAATCACTGATTTCCTTTACATCTGGAGTTGCCAGTTTGTGGTCTGTTCTTGCAGTGGATGCTAACCGTAAATTGCAATGAATTGACTGCTGCTAAATCATATTTGGTTTGACCATTTGTAATAATCTCAAAATGGGGGAGAAAAAAAAAGATCCTAGTAGCAACAGAGAAAACCCAAAGAACTCAACAAGGCAAATATGACAAAACTCCTTTGATTCCTAAATACCCAATTGATCAGAGCTACTGTTTCACGTATGCAAGTCCTGTTTTCCTGTCTTAAGGTAGGCAGCTAATGGTGAGGAAGGAGAATGCACCTTGTATTCCCTTACCGGCCAACGCTGTTGAGAAGCAGAGACTCTTTCCAGTAGGAGAGTCTTGGACTTCTCTCTGTCACCCTTTCCTCCTCTTCCTTCTCCTCCTTCTTCTAGCTGGCTGTTGTGCTGCAGTCTCATCCTTTCCACCATGGGTGTGATGGCAGGCCAGGGACTGACCCCTGTGGGGACTCTGTTACCACAGTTTTCAAAACAAACTGAGGCTTCCTTGCTTCCGGCGTGGAAGGGAAAGGCCACGTTTTGCACCTTTATAAGAACAGGCTGCGATAGAAAGGGAGTAAATTTTCCACAACGCTTAACGCACTGTAATAGCAAGCAAATAGTTTGCTCTTCGAAGTTGTTGATATGAGTCTCTTAAGACTATGGTAATTTGGGAAATTCAGGGTGAACAACTGAAATTACAACATTTAGGGAGGGCTGCACTGGATTAAATAGCCTGGGTTTTGTCAAAACTATTGTTGTGTTTCTGAAGCCATCTGTGATTTGTAGAGTGTTGGGGTTTTTTTCTTTGGAATAATGAGGGGGAGAGGATTTCATCAAAATAAGACCACCAGTCATTTAGGGAAAATTCGTTACATATGTTTAACCTTTAAAAGAAGATGTAACCAAATTTAAAAGTTGAGGTAATTTTTTTTCCTTTTTAAAAAACCCTGTCTCAGCAGTGTTTCATGCCATTAGCTTTTGTGTGTGATAGCAGGTTTATTTTTATAAAAAGCCATTTAAATTACTAGTTTTGTTTTAATATCATTACAAGAGCTTTCAAGCCAAGTATACTCTCTTCAGGTTTTTTGTTTTTTTTTTTGAAAGTAAGGAAATGAATCTCTCGCTATGAGTCTCAAGCACATCTGTAAAGTAATTTTGAAGAAATATAGTCAAGTGTTTCAGGACTGATATTACTTAGTAATATATATACTATCACTTAGACAAACACGGATGAGATTTGATTAAATTCAAGTAGCCTAGAGTTACAAAGACGTTCCATATTGAATACATTTGAATATTGAATATATTTGTAGAGGAATTTCCAAATACCTCTATCTTGCAGTGGAATTTGTGGAGTATTTTGGTGTGCAGAGATACTTGTCAATATTTTATGTGCTGTGATAATTCCATCTATTACTAATTTTATCAGTAACTCTAGTGATTTTGCAGCTAATAGAGAGGTTCAAGTGCACGCTTTAACCAAAAGATCTTAACATGCATTATAATAAGTTTTTAAGTAAGCAGTTTAATTGCTTGAATTGTAAGATTTTTGTCTGTGTTTTGTCTGAATAAATTGCTTTATTAAATGAGCTGGGAAAATTGGCTTGCTTACGCATGTCTCAGTGAGAATTTCTTTAATTTGTTTTGTATGGTATTTATGGCAAATGAAATGTATCCATTAAGAGAAAATGAAAAGCGGAAATTTCCTACCGTGAAAAACAGAAGCGCCGCACTTTTAGCTTAATAGTGCAAAAAAGAGGTAGAGGAATTTCATTAAAAATCAGAGAGTACCATCTGAGTTTGCTGCACTGCAGCCTGTTGTGGCAGTCTAATAATTTTACCCAAAAGACAAGAAAAAGTCAAATAATCTGGAAAGTTAATTAAAGATATCAGGAAAAGTTACAGTAAATTTTCTGGGGGGAAAAATGAAAACACTCCCTGACTTTTTTTTTTTTTTTTTCCTTCTCCTTGCAGGCTGTTCATACAGGTATGCGGGCTTATATTTATAATAAGAATTCTGTTATTGGCTCTCAGGCAGAGCATTCAGGGATGCGGACGTACTACTTCAGTGCAGATACCCAAGAGGATATGAATGGCTGGATCCGGGCTATGAATCAAGCTGCTCTTATGCAAACACGCTCTTCACTTAAGAGGCAAGTTCAATACACAAACTGTTAGCTTGTAAAAATATATTTTATACACACACACGCGCATATAAATATATATATGTATGTATAAAAAAAATCAGATTGGTGGTGATTTCTGAAAGCAATGTTTGTAAATGTGTGCACGAAACTCCTTCCCATTTTGAAGAAATAATTCTTCTTAATTTACATTCTGTTGCAAATCAGTTAACTAACCTTAATTAAGAAAACCTAGTGTTCAGTATTTGTGCCTACACACAAATCGTGTGCCACATTTAGTGACGTGGATTAATTTCTCTATATGTATAACTTTTTAGGGAATTTCAGTTAAAAAGTTATAGGTTTTGGGAGCAAGTTCATACACCTGCAACAGCCAGTTGGCAGCCTTGAGGAGAAATAGGGAAAAGGGAAAAGTAGAGTAATGGCTTGTTTCAAATGAGTGTTTAGAACTAGGATTAAAATGCTGTTAAGAGGGAAAAGAATGTTAATGATGGGTAAATCATAAGTGCATAGAGTTATAGATGTTAAGTAATTTATACAGGTATTAATTGCTTGGGTTTTTTACTTGCTTTGGTGGCCTTTAGTACTTGTAAGACCTTTTTATGTTTTTCTTGGTGTACAAAAAAAGCACTGTGACAAAAGGAGAATGTCCTTTGTCTCATTGTTCTTAATTAGTGCTAGAGGCAAATGAATTCAGCTGTGCCTTCATGTGTTTCCAGTGTTTTCTTAAAATTGGTGCATCCTGCTTGATGTTCTGACTTTGGGAATGTGATTCTTGCCCTACAACTCCTTGTGAAAGAAGACTATACTGTGAGACAGCCCTGCTTTTAACCCATGGGGCTGTGAGGATTAAAATGTCATGGTGCAGTTTCTCACTACTGCTTGCTTTTGGCAAATCAAATATAAGCAGTGGATCAACATCTCTTCCAGAGTTTTGCATCCTATTTGATTTTGTGTTAAGATTTTCTGGATTTAATTTAAATTTCAAATAACACGTAACCTGTTACCTCTTTTTTTTTTTTTTTTTCTTTATAAGAATAGGTATAATTGAAATAACAATTGGGAAAGTCTGGTATGTTAGAAGTATTGATCGAGTGAGCTTCCTCCTAGCAGACTATGCATTTTGAGACACTAAGTAGACTGAAGTGAAAACAATTGTTTCCTGGCACTTACTTAGAATTCACCTTTGATAAAGCTTTAAAGAAGCTGAACTTAGTTCAAAGAAGATGAGGTGCTACTGTGAGATCAATGATACTGCGTTGAATTATAAGAGAAAAAAATGTTGTTGAGAAGTTTATTGCTGTAAGGAGATGAAGAAAATTGCATATGATGTTATGTGTCAAAAGTACCATAAAACTTTTAGGATCCATAGACATTTTATATTGTGTTGTATAATATCAAGATTTCTGGTGCAGAGGTTTTTTTAATATTTAGGCAATAAGGTAAATAAGTAAACCAGTGTGCATTGCAGCATGTATTAGGAACAACTGAGATCATTTTTTTTTATTTTATTTTTGACAGGGATAGCCTCCAGGTTACAAATTCTCTGGACAGTGATAGTACTGACTCAAATGTAGATATTGTTCTGTCCTCTTGGCCAGAAATGACTAGGCCCTAAGCTATCTACAAAGATATGAAAGACTTTTTTGACTTTGAAATGAGCATTTGGCAGTTTGGTTTTGGTTTTTTGGCTTTCAGTGTTTCCCAGGATAGGAAGACTTTTCTTTTTTGTAGTTGTTTGTACATAATATTACACAAGTTGAACAGTTCTTTCATACAGTATTAGTATTTTCAGTCATTTTTACAGATGTTTATAAATTTCTGCTTCTTTAATAGCACTGTAAAGGGAACTTTTGTCTAATTGGGATAACAACTGAGTTTTTTTCTGCGCATATCTATCTTAACATACTTCTGTCAAATTTATCACAGCCTGGAGAAGGTGTTTTTGTCGGTATCCTTTCTAAAATAGTAACAAGACCACATCAACTTTTCACAATTAAGCAGGGTGCATTACTGACACGTATTTTCTTTTCAGAGAAACAGAAAAAGTGGATCAGCAAGCTGTTCCCCAAGTCAATCATGTGGATGCCTGTAAAGAATGTATGAAGGCAGACATTACAGATACAAAAGAAAGCTATCAAAAATCAGCTGAAATGCTTGGATATGATAAGCGTGAAGAGATAAGAAGAGAAAAAGAGGAGGAGGAGCGTTATATCCACAGAAAAGAAACTCTGGAAACTAAGAAGGGAAAGGCTAAGCATGCGTTAACAGAAGCTGATTCATTATTTCCAGACTTAACGAATGCATCACGGTCCCAAGTAGCTCAGCCTCAGCCAGCTGAGAAGAATGGAACGCTTCCTAGTTCATTAAGTATGAGTGCTGGCCTAGTGGAGCAGAATGGTACCAGCTCATATAAAAGAGGGTTTGTTCCCAGAACAAATCCAGATAAGCAGATTCAAAGAAAAAGTAACATGGCTCAAGTGGAGCACTGGGTGAAAGTCCAAAAAGGAGACACAAAAAGGTTAGTAATAGGCCCATCTTTAAATAGACTGCCAAATGGCGTTTTCTTAAATTAAAGGGAAATATGTATTAGTAATATGTTTAGTGCAAATCAGAGTGATATTTTACAGAGGTAATATGTAACAAAACTTACTTTCTTCTTCAGCGCAGAATATTTTTTTTTTCAGGTGTTCATCTCATGAGAAAGTCAATATGGGATTGGCTAATCAAATCCGTTTAATGTTGTCACCATATTGCAAATAGAAAGTGAGATTAGAGTGCTTTTTTTTTTTTACTGTTTTTTAATCACTGTGGATGCTTAAAACTTCTTAAAATTTGCTACAATTGAAGAGCCAGAAAGTGAAGTGCAGCCCTCAGTTACCTAATTCATTCAACTACACAATATAAACTACAGATAATAATTTGTTTTCCACTAAAAGTAAAGAATACTGATTTTTTTTTTCTCCCTTGTGTTCCTGTTCCAAACATCCATTCACTGCTCTATATTGGATTACTGCGCTCAAAGTCACAGTGTGTGCATCATGTATCGAAAGGTCTCCGTATATTCATTTAGTTAATGAAGAGGTCTTACGATGTTCCCATGGTCTCCAGGATTCTATTTTCTCTTTTCAGTCCTTGAAAATTACATAAATTGCACCAAGACATAGAATGCACACTGGAATGCTTTTGTAATTTGAAAATCTCGTAATTGTTTTACTTTCAAAGTGTGCAGTCAGATTAGGTACCAGTTGAAAAAATGAAGTGATGTATAGTCTGTTCAGAATGTCACCTCATGTCAAGCAGCGGGAAAGACACTTGGGTTTTATGCTGTATGTGAGGATTTTTCAAATATGGGTAATGTTATAAATTTGCTAAAATCTAATTATAATATGTAATAATAGGAGACATTAGCATGTGGCTCTTAGGAGGGAGAAAACATTTGGGCTTTTTTTTTTAATGCTTGTTGAAGTTATTTGTCATTTTGGATCCAGTAAGATATTTAAGGCTTGCTAATTCTGTTTGGAAGTCCATTCTTCTGCTCTCTTATCTTTGGAATTACCCTTAAAGAAGCTTACATACTTTTTGGTTTTATTTAACGTTCTTCTAGTATGCTAGAGTCAGTTTACTTGCATCTTTTTTGCTTGGATATCAATCAATGCTTCCTGAGAGAATATGACTGTAATGAAAAAAAAGTATGCGTGTGTGTTAGTTCTTACACGCAAAGATGTATTAGTCTAAAATAATACAGAAAATTATTGAACTAATTAGCCAGTGCTTAAGAAAACTTCTGTTGATGTTTTTCACATCAAAAGTATAGACAGTGAACAGGCTTGACTGATAGCTGAATAAGTACTGTTTTCTTCCTAATTACTCTTTCCAGTAAATCAACTTTAGGTGTGTATCAGGTGTGGTGTTAAGATAGTGCTGTTGCAGGTGCCAGCATTTGCTCTAGATAAAACCAGCTACTTCAGCTGGAGCAGTTAAGTATTCAGTGAAACTTCACGAAAGGTAACTGCTGTGATGTAACCAAAATTTTACTTCATATATGTATATATATATGAAGATAAAAAACATTCTTTATGTTCTATTTCAGCTCACTTGACCTTGTTTTCTTTGTCTTTCCCTGACAAATGCTGTATATTCTCTGCATTCAGAATACATTGCTTGTTACCTTCCCAAAGATTAATGGATTGATATCTTTTTTAAAAGGCACTTTCTTTCAGCCTGCTGAGGTTGTTGCAGTGCACTTAACTGGTGGATAAAAGTGGCCTGTTAGATGTCAAATGACTTCTTGATTTCAGAATGTAGAAATTTAAGATTGATTGACATTTCATTTTGGTTTTAGTAAGTATGAGTGGACCACTTAATTTGTTAGTGCTCCATGTTTAATGTTATTCTACCTGAAATGTTACAAATAAAGAACCTCTGAGGATTTAGAAGCCCTTATAATTTCTGAACACAGAATGAGTACAGTTTTACTTGTTTCCTGGCTCAGGTGTATAAAGATGTAGCGCTTGCCAGCAAGTTGATTATGACAAGAAAGAACTCTTTCAGCCTAGAGTCTTCACACAAATACAGCAGTTGTTTATATAATTATCTGCAGGGATTGCACCTTTTATATAGATATTTAGATCTTTCAAATAGATATTCTACTTCCTCTACTTTCTTTATAAAACACTCGGAACTGTTTGCTAACTAGTAAATGTTAGCTTTCACTTTGGAGATTCATCTCTTAGACCATGAACAGTTAGCTGCACTACAGTTACATCCAATGTAGTCATCTAACCCCGCTCTGTTCTCAGCAGAGGGGGAATACCTGCTTTAGTAAGGCTCATGCCAGCCTTTGAGAGAGATCAAGAGAATTGGAAGGAGGTTTGAAAGGAGGCTTTCAGGAGATTTTGGGTTTAAGTAATCAAAGGTCAGGACCATCAGGCAGCAGCTGTCCAGAAATTATTAGTCTTTGATCTGATTCCAGTGCCTGGATAGACATAGTAAATGCATAATTGTCAAGAATCTGCTATTTCTAACAGTTTATTTGCACTTAAAATATATAAATCTGATAAATGTAATCTTAATATTTTGCAACTAAATGCAGTCATGTTGAGGAATTTCCTTCCTTGCAAATACAGTGTTAAATATTTCTTGTTATGCAGAACTTTCCATTCCTTCCTGATTTGCTTAAGGAAGAAACATTACTTGTCTTTGTTAGCTTCTGTGCATTCCCATGAATGGGCATAGTGTTTCCAATAATTGTATTTGTTTTCTTTTGAACACTTCTCTTTTTACAATATCTGCTGTGTGGTTGCTTGCCATTGCAGACCCTGAATGATTTTCATGGCCAATAATCATATAATATGGTGTCAGGCCATTTTTTCACTCTTCAATGTCTGTTTTCCTTTTTATATTCTTTATACCTCAGCATTCAAAAGAGGGAGATTCTCAAGAACATTTGCTTTTGCTCATTTTTACTCTTGATCCCTGAGAAAGCAATTGTCCACAGTCCATTGTGGACTGATTTGAGTCATTCAGGACATTGTTCCTTTCCTGTTATAGCAATTAGTATGTCATCTTAGTGCCTATTTTTATATAATGCAAGTTATTTTTAAGGGTCTGAAACCTTGTGTGGTAGAGATGCCACTTGCTTAAAGCGTAGCTGGAGTTTTCTCCCTACTTCATATACTGGGAAATTGCAACCTGCCCGTACATAGGCAGTTTCCTCTAAAGTTCAGCTTTGAACGTGACTTTCCCTGTGTAATGTAATGCACATGCAACTTTGGTCTTTTTTCTAGCAGGCTGAAGATTGCATGAAGCCGGCACCTCCCAGCTACTCAAAGTGCTGTTTTCATCCGAACGGTTCTTAGTTCCTCTCAAACAAATGCATCCTTTTCTAGAAGAAAGGTGTGATATCCCGCCCCCAAAAAATGACGGAGTCTCTGTTTTCAGACTGCTTTTGCTCCTAAAGCTGTGAGCCCTCATGATTTCATTGGCTACCATAAATTCCTTCTGATCTCTTCACCCTTTGTGTCCAATTAGAAAATAACCACACACAGATGGTTTGCAACATTGAGTAGTTTGCTGATGCTTTCACGAGTGCTCCAATAGGCTGGAGTATAGGAATGGCCAAGCCCCCTTCCCCTTTTTTCCACAGAAAAATTACCAAAAGGATCTGTCCTAGCTTCATGCCTGTCTCAGACGTCCTTTCGAAGCATTACCTGCTCCAGACTTTCTCAGTTTTCATTCCTATCACATTTCTACCGACTGCTTTGATTTTCATGTGGAAAGAATTGGCAGTACAGTACAGAACATACAGAGTACATGTGATGTAATGAGCTAGACAAATAAAAGAGGTTACTTGACCACTAAATGCTGATCTTTGAGTCGCGTCTGTTCATACTACCTGCCTGCTTTAACCTTTATTGTGAAGTTTAAGGTAACACCAAGGTTCTGTGCTTTGAGAGAGCAGAGCTTTTATGAATTTGTAATCCTCCATGCAGCACAGGGCAGTTATTCTGCTTTCTGACATGAGGAGTTATGTATGCTCTCAAGAGCACCCATATTTCCAGACAGTCCAACAAGGCCAAATCCTGCAAGTAGAAATAGATGGAGGCAGCTACTGAGCAGCAATTACTGGTAGCAATTCTTTTCCCCCTGCTTCTGTTATTCTTGGATGAGGAACAAAGATGTTCCTTTCCATCCTGCCCTTTCATTCATGTGGAGTTCCTGCAGTTCCAACACCATTAGGTCTCCTTTTCATGCAGAGAGTGGAGCCTACTGAGTGGAGTGATGAATGTGCTCCATGCTCTGAGTTTCTTGATTTGGGGGGGGTGTGTGTGTTTATTTTTTTGTATTGTTGCTCTGTGGCAAGTCTAGCAGAATGGTTTTCTGTCTGGAAATCCTGGATCAATGGGCAAATGACTGCAGGTGCAAAACCCCTGGATGTTTAACTGGAGACTCAGCAATTAAACAGGCAATTTCTTACACATGAGGCTACAGAAAGATTTTGACTTCCAAGTAGGAGAGGGAGCTAACTACGCTTTGGCAAAGCTTTTGCCAATTCTGTCTTAACTCTCTATCTACTAAAAGATTTAATATCTACAGTTTAAGTAAATTCTGGATGCAGTGCTAAAGCCAGGATGTAATGCCTCTTTTTATATTCTAGCTCATCAATGAGCTTTGTTGCAAAAAGCCTTGTATTACTTAAAACAGTAGAACCAGTAGCATTAGGTCAGATGACAGTAAATCATACAGACTTGGGGACTTTGAGCAGTTTCCTCCCTCTTTTTTTTTTTTTTTTTTGCTTCATTCACATGAACAAAAATTGTCTAAGATACTCATTCTGTGATTGGTGAGATTTCATCTTGCACTTTAAGGCAATTTTTTTATGAGCAGGCATTTGTTGTTCGTAAACTGCACCACCTAGTGGTGAGCAGGCTTTCGGTGAAAAATATTTTAATTTATGGATTTGCTCTTTAAACATAATAATTCCTTTATTCATGTTCTTGATGTTCTTTTTGGTCTAAGTATTATTTCTAGTAGGTCATCCTAGGTTAGACGCTAAATTAAAAAGCCTGTATTTATACTGTTAGCATCTCTGCATGAATACAGTGTAAAGTTTTTGTGCGGGGTAGATTTCATTAATATTACTTTGTTAATATTTTAAAAATTCTTTTTAAATGACTCTTGTATGTTATATCTGGTAGCTCCTATGCTAATGTCATTAGAGATTTCTACTCATTAATGTACGCTAAATTTTTTCTTTTTTTCCCCCCACCTTCTTTACAGCCTGACTTCTGATCAGACTCTTACACGTCAGGGTCCCAATCCACCTTTTCCTGAAAACTATCACACTTTGCCAAAGAACACCAGGCAGCCTTCAGGGAACTCACCACCTCCGCCAAACCGCAATTTGCCGAGTGACTACAAATACGCGCAAGATCGTGTTAGCCACTTGAAGATGTCCCAGGAGGAAAGAAAAGCAAATAAGGATGGAACTGTTTGGCAGCTATATGAGTGGCAGCAGAGACAGCAATTTAAACATGGCAGCCCCACTGCCCCGCTTTATGTAGGTTCTTCAGACTTTATTGATCGTGGTAAGTCTAAAAGTTCATTGGATGTTCCACGATCAATATCTGTTCCGCCATCTCCATCTGATATTCCTCCACCTGGACCTCCAAAAAGTTTTCCCTTGAGAAGACCACATACTCCTGCAGAAAGGCTTACAGTCAAACCATCTGATGAGAGACAGACTGTAGACGTTCCTTTTGCTGGATCACCCAGGAAGATACGAAATCATACTGTAAAGGTTTGTATTCAGTGTAACTGATTTCAAACTATTATACATGTGGTGTCATACACTGATAATTTAATTTGGTCATTTTCATTGCATCCTTCCTTGTGTATGAAAGATCATGCAAGTTGTAAAAGTTAATACAGTGAATAATTTTCTCTGCAAATTCTTATATTTCTCATCATTTTGGATTTATTACATTTTGTTGGTTGGGAAAGGAAAATTGGTGGCAAATCACATTGGTTTGGAATATTTTTACTCAAAACCTGGAAGGCATATGTTTATATCTATAAAATATAGAAATTTTAGTATTTAAATATATAGAGTAGTAGGCAAGAATATAAAACTCAGCAGGATGAACTCTTGATTATTTACTTATGCTTGTAGTCTTCAGTGTTTGCTGTATCTGCTTTCACTACATGTTTTGCTATTGTAATTAGTCTTATAGCTGATTACGTTTCTAGTTATGGCTAAAAACATAATAATTTTTCATGCATTTGATAGTTTAAGCCCTTTGCAGAGTCATTGCCATTGGGCTAACCAAAATCAAACGGTGTTGATCTGAAATTTTAACTTTCTGCAGAATTTGTGTGGCTTTTTTGTAGGCATTGTTATACCCTCTTATCCAGAGGTGACAGAGGTTTCCCTATTCGGTACTCCATATGCCTCTCCTTGTCTAAGGAAATCAGGGAAATTCAGGATTGAATTGGTTGTCTTGGTATCTCTTACACTGGAATAAGTGGAAATGAAAGCCTTTGTATTCACCTAATTCTTTGACCTCAACCGCGGGTTCTGATGGGGAAAGTATTTGCCAAAGAGAGAGACTTGTGTATCTGAATTTACAGCGTGGGTTCAGAATCATGACTTTAGGTTGCATACCAGCTTCATGCATGGTTTAGATTTTTTTCCTAGTGTATATGCAGTGTAGCTATCAGATATCTTTCAGCGTTTCAGTGCTAAGCTCAAGGGCAGCCTTGGTTGCAGTGACCACAAAATGGTGGAGTTCAAGATCCTCAGGGCAGTGAGAAGGGCATACAGCAAGCTCACCACCCTGGACTTCAGGAGAGCAGATTTCAGCCTCTTCAGGGATCTGCTTGGTAGAATACCATGGGACAAAGCCCTGGAAGGAAGAGGGGCCCAAGACAGCTGGCTAATATTCAAGGGTCACCTCCTCCAAGCTCAGGAGCAATGCATCCCAACAAAGAGGAAGTCAGGCACCAAGAGGCCCGCGTGGATGAACAAGGAGCTCCTGGGC